CCTGAATGTACTTTCATGTATAATTTTTGAGGAAATAAACACAGATTACTTTCTTTTCTTTTAGTTTTTACCGTGTTATCTTCAAAGTCTCCATATTGTCTCATGAACTACTCATATCAACATATCTACTCAAGAAGAACAATTAATTCTTTGATTTGTAGATGCAATAGATTAAACATACGTTAAATAGTGAAAAACTTAAAGATTGTTATGCAATCGAAAGGGCATATTGCAACTTAATGACCCATTATTTCAATTTAATTCTAACCACTTTAATGACCCATTATAATTTATAATGTAATAAATATAAATAATAATGAAAGAAATAATTCATTTTTTTAAAGGTTTGAAGAAAGAAAATAAGAAAAAAATTTCAAAATTATGAGAAAATAAATAAATAGTAATAGAGGCCAATGAGGCATGCCACATCAGCGGATTCATTTTCAGCTTTATTAATATATATAGATTTCTAATTTGTTTTGGACTTGGTTATTTTATTTAGGTTTTTCTAATAGTCCATAGAAATAAATATTTTGGAGGATATCAATCATAGGGCATCAAATTATAAAGTTGTCAATACTTTTTAGGGTTCGTTTTTTCTTCTTTCTTTTCTTAGAGATTAGTGGTTAAACGCCCTTGTTCTGTACGGATTGATTGTTGAATATTGAAGGTTTTGAATTAATTCTTGGTTATCATTATAAATTACTTTTATATTCTTGTTTTAGTATTTCATGCTTTATCACCATAAAAATAAATCTATTGTCTATTCTTAAAATCGAGAGAGGAGAGGGTAGATAAACCAAAGAATATAGAAAGCTCAATCATCCATTGAGTTGATGTGTGTTCAAGAGTGACGCTCGGACGAACAACTTGCTTGGTTACAAAATAGAATGAAATATAAATGCTCGCTAGTAGGCATGTCTATCCCCGCTCAACGATATAGTAGGAACAACTAATTGGAGTGGGCGACTAGAGGTCGAGAGACCCAACTCATACAACCCTGTATATCAGTAACTTCATAACTGAAATTAGTTCATTGCCTGAGATACGATACATGAAGTCCAATGCATGTTGCAGCCCTAGAATTTTCCAACCATTGTAAGTAATCTTATTATTTTATTCATGCATTCTTTATTTTTGGCACTCTTAAATAAATAATTAGACCAGTATAATTTAGTAAAAATAGTTAATTGACAAGTCCTAGGTTCGATAATCTGATTCTTTTAAGAGCCACTATATTACTTGCGCAACCGCGTACACTTGCATGTTGAGAGATATAAGAGATGAGAGGTATGATGAGAAATGAGAGAAAGTAAGAGGGTGAGAGGTGAGAGGTGAGAGATGAAAAATGAGAGATATGATGATTACGAGAGAAATGAGATATGAGATGAGAGATGAATGAGAGAGATGAGATTAGAGATAGGAGATATGACAAAAGAGAGGAGAGAGATGGGAGATATGAGAGTTGAGAGATGAAGATAAGAAAGATGAGAGATGAGAGTTGAGAGAGTAGAGAGAGATGAAGAGATATACGAGTTGAGAGATGGGAGATGGAAGAAGTGGGAGGAATGGGGGATAGGAGAGGAAAGAAAAGTGAGAGATAGGAGAGGAGAGATGCGAAAGAGATGTGAGATGATAGATGAGAGATACGAGAGAGATATATGAGGGATGAAGGTTGAGAGAGACAAGAGATGAGAGAGAGATGGGAGAGAAATTAAAGAGATATGAGTGTTGAGACATATAAAATGAGAGATTTGAGAGTTGGGATATGAGATGAGAGATAAAGCTGAAAGATGAGACTTAAGAGATAAGATAGATGAGAGATATGAGATGAGAGAGATGATGAGACGAGATAGGAGTTGGGAAAGAAGAGATGAGATATGGGAGATGGGAGAAGAGAGAGGAGAGATATATGAGAGATGAGAGATATGATGAGATGAGATAGGAGATGGGAAAAAAAAGAGAAGATATGAGAGATGGGAAAAGAGGAAAGAGATATGAGAGATAGGAAAAGAGGAAGGAGAGAGATATGGGAGAAGAGAGAGAGGAGAAAGATGTGAGATAAGAGAGATGAAAAATATGATCATGAGAGATGGATGAGATATGAAATAAGAGTAAATACAAAAAAAAAATGAGGAGATATGAGAGTTGAGATATAAGAGAGATAAGATGAGGAGATGGGAGATGGGAGATGGGAGATGGGAGATGGGAGATGGGAGATGGGAGATGGGAGATGGGAGATGGGAGATGGGAGATGGGAGATGGGAGATGGGAGATGGGAGATGGGAGATGGGAGATGGGAGATGGGAGATGGGAGATGGGAGATGGGAGATGGGAGATGGGAGATGGGAGATGGGAGATGGGAGATGGGAGATGGGAGATGGGAGATGGGAGATGGGAGATGGGAGATGGGAGATGGGAGATGGGAGATGGGAGATGGGAGATGGGAGATGGGAGATGGGAGATGGGAGATGGGAGATGGGAGATGGGAGATGGGAGATGGGAGATGGGAGATGGGAGATGGGAGATGGGAGATGGGAGATGGGAGATGGGAGATGGGAGATGGGAGATGGGAGATGGGAGATGGGAGATGGGAGATGGGAGATGGGAGATGGGAGATGGGAGATGGGAGATGGGAGATGGGAGATGGGAGATGGGAGATGGGAGATGGGAGATGGGAGATGGGAGATGGGAGATGGGAGATGGGAGATGGGAGATGGGAGATGGGAGATGGGAGATGGGAGATGGGAGATGGGAGATGGGAGATGGGAGATGGGAGATGGGAGATGGGAGATGGGAGATGGGAGATGGGAGATGGGAGATGGGAGATGGGAGATGGGAGATGGGAGATGGGAGAGGAGATAAAAGAGAGATGTGAAAGATGGGAGATATAAGAGAGATGTGAGAGATGAGAGATGAGAGGAGAGTTGAAAGATGTTAAATGAAAGAGATTAGAGTTAAAAGATATGAGATGAAAGAGATGAGAGTTGAGATATAATATGAGAGAGATGAGAGATGATATGAGATGAAAGAGATGAGAGAAATGAGAGAGATAAGATATGAGCTTTTGAGAGGTGTGAGAGGAGAGATGAGAAAGAGAAGATATGAGACATGAAATGTGAGATAAGAAAGAGAAGATATGAGATATGAGATATGAGATGAGAGATTGAGATGAGAAAAAGAAGATATGAGACATGAGATGTGAGATATGAGAAAAAAAAAGACATGAGATATGAGATGTGAGATGAGATGTGAGATGTGATATGAGATGAAATATGAGATATGAGATATGGGATGTGAGATGAGATATGAGATGAGATATGAGATATGGGATGTGATATGTGAGATGAGATGAGATATAAGATATGAGATGAGATGTGAGATGTAGGATGAGCTATGATATGTGAGATGAGATATGAGATGTGAGATGAGATGAGATATGAGAAAGAGAGATATATGAGATATGAGATGAGATGTGATATGAGATATGAGATATGAGATGTGAGATGAGATATGAGAAAGTGATGAGATATGAGATATGAGATGAGATACGAGAAATATGAGGATGAGATATGAGATGAGCGATGAGATATGAGATATGAGATGAGCGATGAGATGAGATGAGATATGATATGAGAGATGATATATATGAGAGATGAGATATATGAGATATGATGAGATAAGAGATATGAGAAGAAGATTCATTTTTAGAGAGTAAATAGAGCATTACCAACCTTATACTCTATTTTACTCTTTAAACATAGAGTTTTCTATTAGACAATCAACTCCAACCTAATTCTCTATTTTATGTTCTAAAAAAGAATTTTCTCCTCTCTCCTCAATATAATATTATTATTTCTATTTCATTCTTATTTTCTTATTTCATAGTAATATAAATCATTTTGCTTCTTTTTTCAAATAATCATTTTATATAATATTCATGTGATATAATATTTTATTTTTTTCAAATTCTTTATTTAATATAAAATTATATTTTATTTCAAATTTTTAAGTAACATAAATTGCAAGCAAATATTATATAATATACAAATTAATGGACAATTCAAATAAAAGTGAAATCATTAATGAAATACAATTACATAAATACTCAACTTTCAAGATTATTATGTTGCTCCTTTAAATGCTTTATTAATGCATTACAGAGTTAAAAATGATCATTTTTTATGTCTAGCTAAAAATTGTTCAAACCAGAGATTTCAAATTATGTTAGTGACAATTTTTTTTAAAGAAATTAACATATTGTTAATTCAGAACAAAAATAGTTTATATTAAATAATCTATTTTTTAGAATATTATATTACATTTAAAAAGAATGACGAATATTAAATATTTAATTAATGGGATTATATGTAAAATAATATGTTCATTGCAACTAATACCAAAAGAATTAATACTAAAAAATTAATACTCATATCTCGCAATAGCAATAACATATTAGCAAATATCTCAATTCAAAAACTAGAAATAGATAATACTTACTTAGAACTTGAATGAGAAAAAAAAGAACAAAAGTCAAAACAGTGAGAAGTGAGAAAAAAACAGAGGTAGAAGACTCTGAAGTCTGAAGTAGAAGAAGGAAAAGGAATCAGAGGAAGAAGAAAATGAGGAAGATTAAAGAAATACGTATTGGTTGGACTTTGGAGTCGCCGGAAAAGTCTAGCTAGTAGCCTTAGGAGTCTAGCCGAAAATCCTAAAATTACCTTTCAACTTTTAAAACCCTAAATTGGTCGCTTTTTTAAAGAAGATACAAAAGGCGACACCTTTCTCGCCTCTCACCTTTGTCTCCATGGCGTCGTCTTTTGAAGATCGCCTCGCCACAAAGCTAAAAGGCAATGAAGGGTCGCCTCACCTCTCGCCATTGGCGACGAGGCAATCGCCTTTCAGAACACTGGAAGAACCTAATTTAACTAGTCTTTGAACAAGCAATGTCCCAACATATAGAAAGATTTCAACAACAGTAATTATATTTTGCAACCAATTTAAGTTTCCTTTTCCAACAAGTAACAATTCTTTACCCTTGTAAATGCATTTTCGATTGAAGATGTCATGTAGAACTCTATCTGCTCTTTATCTGATATTGTTGCAGACTCCATTGCCTGCATAAACATCAAAGTCATATTAATACAATAATATTATTTGTAAGTGTCCATGTATGTGAATCCTATGGTTTATAGTGAATGCACAAACAACACATATAACATGTGATTTTTTTTCCTGTACTATTTTAAGTGAACAAACTTAAAATAGTTCACCAGAAAAGGTAGGTAGAAGAAGCCTTCGAACAAGCATAGCAACTGCCACAGTGTTTTCCATCATCACCAACCCCTAATCCAAAAACATCAACTAGTTTTTAGACACAACTTTCCTGTACTATTAACTTAAACTAAATAATATCCTAGATGGAATTAATGTCAACAGAAAAGGCAGAAAATTTGAAATATATTTTTGAAACAGAGAAAATTAGAACATTTGTAATATTGGCAACCATTATTCATGGGAAAGAGTAAATTTGGAAGTTAGTTTCTTAGTTTTAAATTGCTAAACAGAGTTCATAGTACAAGCTCTGAGTTGATCAGTGTCTGTATTACCACAAACAAAATTTTGAAACAGGAAAAGACATGTAAATGTAAGTTTTATGACCTATCACGCGCACAAGATTTGCAATCGCCTAATCAAAGTAAAACAGAATTGTGCACAAACTATGAAGTAGAGCATCTAAAGTCCAGCTTCAAGCTAATGAAACTAGCCAAAGGCCAGAGCCATGATTTTCCAATCAAACCAGTGCAGAGAAATACACCCTTTAGATTCAATAATAAAGAGGAACGTGAAACATACGAGAGCAAATGATTAACAGCTTGAGATCTTATCATACATAAAAAGAGGGAAAGTAGAAGTTAACTAACATGAAGGCTATTCAACTGCACACAAAGCGTTGATGTTGCCGCTACGTCAATTTCAACAGACTTCAAGACATCTGGTATCCTTGTATCCTTCAACTCCTTCTTTACAAATGCCTTAATTCCACTTTCCCTTGAGTGTCTCGTCAAAATAGGCACAGGTGGAACAATATCTTCCTTATTAGCTGCATGCAAATGATAGCAAGTTCACCATGAAATATATAGGTTCAATTTAGCAGCAAACAGTTCTGCCGAAACAAATGCAAGATATGCAAATGCAAAAAGATGAGCAGAGAAGTAGAAGAATACAAATATTTACACGGTACAACTTTTCATAGCCATAAAAAGAGAGCCACTAAATAAAAACTTCAAAGCTATTTGAAAATTCAACATGCTAAATTCTGTTGATGGGAAACTGGGATGGCGATGAAGGATCGTCAAATGGGTACATGGGCAATTCATCCATATCATTTGCAAGAAAAGAGTGAAATAATAAAACTAGGATATCCAATTATTGGTCACTCGGACAGAATATTTACAGTTCCAGTGGGAAGGATAACTTTGAAATTATGCTGTAAAGAGGTACCCTGCCCTTCCTACTGTGAAAGGGTTTTGTCTACTGCAGAAAACAGATTTTGATCTAATAGTTCCTCCATCCATTACATTGATGTCATTCATCAAACCATAGTGCAAGACACAAAATGAACCAGGAGACAATTAAGCTAATAAACTGCAACAACAGGACATGTAAAATTTCAGTATGTAAGGATTCTTCACTGTGAAGAAAAAAAGGAAATCTTTAAGATTGTGCAGAAAGAAACTATATACCAATCTTATCTAAAACGGTCTTTGCATATACTTGAAATGCATTATCAATGCCGCAAAAGAGGCTACCCAGTTCTCCTGGCCTCATTGGAACTTCCAAAGCAAAGAACTGATTGACCGTCTGCAGTGAGAAAATTGTTCAACTCATCACAAAATGTGGTATCGTATAAAAGCATTTGTAAACCACTGTCAGCATATCAGAATCAACAATGATAAAAGCAGAATGTTCAAAATCTGAGCCACAATTTAAAGTTCACTTCCTCTTTCTATTTTATTTCCCACCCACCCCACACCCCATGGGTAGGGAACTGAAGCTTGTGAATCTTCAAGTGTATATGTTCCAAAAGCTAAGTATTTTTTCACTCAAGTTTCATGCACCAAAAGTAAAAGAAGCTAGGCTGCTATAGATAACGTGGGCAGGAAGGACACACAAACTTCATCTTGCAGCTGAGAGTAGTTTGTGATCAAACTTAGCTCTCAAGCACAAAAACCTAGAATTTAGATTTGGCTTTTTTTTAGTGTAGCATTATGATTTCATAGGTTACTAATTTAAAGTCCAGTTCTCCCGCTGTACATAAAACAAATCAATAAAGAATAACTTTCCCTGTTGCTAACAAATTATCGCAACGCTTCTTCCATATTACTGTAATTCCATTATGAAACACAATAAACTTATGCCGCGGAAACTGAATAAACTGATTCCAGAAAACAGAGAAAATTGAGAAAAATAACTATGCAAAAGAACAGAGTATGATTTGTGAACCTCTTCCACAATCCTGTAGACTTCAACAATTGAACATCCATGCCTTTGTTGAGGTGAAACCAGCACCCACCGCTGGAAAACCATAAAAAGGTAATTAACTTCATATGCTAAAAGACTGGTCTTTGGTTAGAAGGAGGATTTCAATTTACTCTTATTATCATAACGGTGAATATTGAAACCAGGAGATGCCTCATTTAACTTTATTTATATATATAAGACGTGAGATAGAAAAATTTAAAATGATAAATGATTAATGACAAATGGCATAGGGAATAGAAGTATAATGACAAAGGAACAGCTAAATAATTGATATAATTGTTAAATGAACTACAATCAATGGATTTAGAAACTCCCTAAGTTATTACCTCCTGCTGAATAGGCCGGTCAACCCAATTCAAAATCCTTGCAAGTTGTGAATTCACCCATCATAGTACCAATGTCCCAGACACAGTTTCAATCTATACTTAAAACAAGAAAAGGCTAAGAAAAACACCAGATTCACTACGTAAAAAATTGAGCATGACACATGAAAACTTTATTAGCAAAACCATCCCGCCTTTTACCCAGTTTTCCAACCATCGCATTAAGGAGACCAAGTCTTGTCCTGACGTCCATGGCCTCATAAATTTGTACATATTAATCAAGTAAGAACCCAGTAAGCATGAAACTGCAAATTCCTAAATAACAGAGTCGGATCTTCAATATCTCTCTTCCCTCTTTATCTTCTAACATTTCCCTTTGGAAAATTTATCCCTTTTTGTTAGCTATCACTTCTATGATTTAATAATGAATGTTTAACTCAATTAATTATCAAAAACATTGAATCTATAACTCCCTTTCTCCTGTCCAGCACTAGGAACACTATTTACATTACATACACACTACCAACTAGTAACTGGTGGTGACTAGCACCATATACCAAACAAATCATCAACATAACAGCTCAAGGCAACTCTGTACTTTGATAATATACTGCTTATCAAGTTATTTCATTTCCTAAATGATTTGCAATGTAACTTGTTGGGGTTAAGGGCAAGAAACTAATAAGATATCTATGCCATTACTGGTGTGAATCGAACAACAGAAGCTAGAAGCAATCTGACATCTGACAGAAGGTAACAAGGTCATTCATTTTCCTACCTCCATCTGGACACGCGTTGTCTCCAACAAACTGACCAGTCCAGATAAATGATGTGACTGGGTCATTACATTTTCACTCTTACTACGGCCCAGCTTCTTCATCAATCTAGATTTCTTCTCCTTCTTTTTGTCATTTGATGGTACAATGAGGCCCCTGTGCATACAGAATGCATATTGAATGCGTCAAATTAATCGGATGGGAGATGTTGCAAGTCAAGAAACATAAAAGGCAGAAATACCCTGAAGCTCCAGCAGCAGCTAGAAGAATCTCATATACTGTTTCACGGAGATCATCATTGCCAATAGCTAGGAAGAAATACAGCCTGAAGTATAAGTATCTCCCATCCATCCACGTAAAAACAAGAGAAGAATACATTTTGAAAGAAGATAGTGGAATCTACAAGTGAAGTAGTGTAACCGACCAGGAAATACTGGAATAAAATATTATATTAAACTGTTTGCTCATCAAGTACTTGCTCCAGTACGTGCCAACACATGTATTCAAGGCTTCAAACATTGTATAAAACCAAAGAATTCAAACATCAAAACGCAAAAAGAAGTATGGATTTAATATGAAGCTCCAAAACAAACTCTTGCACCCCACCAAAGGCTGTTTACGAAGTAGAGGCAAAATAAACTAGTTAAATGGATATGATGACCTCACTTCATTCAAGTTCACATTTAACATTTATCGAGATATTCCCCAAACAGACTTCAAACCAAGGAGGTGCCAGAAATAAGTGAGGATCAAATGACATCAACGTAGCACTGGTTTTCGTGCACAAGTAACTCTTTATGTTCGTTGAAGAAAACATTAGTGGGAACTCTTTATGCTTAAAAAGCACCAAATGATAGTCAAGAATAAAACTTATATAACTATCAAAGTTTTTCTTTTTATAAACATAAGCAAGTGAAAAACTTATATAACTATCTAAGTTTTTCTTTTTATAAACATAATCAAGTGAATAGCGATTAGAGGAGAAAATAACAAAGAGCTATAACAAAATAAAATAAAAATTTAAGCACTAAAGAGAGTTGCATCAGAATATCTGAGAATTAATAATCTGACAACTAGTTTTGTTTATGATAGTCAAAGGTCAGAAAAACATTAAACAGGTATCAAGATAGTGGTAACTCTTTCTAATCTACAAAAAGAAAAAAAACCATATAGGATTACAGTTTTAAAATATTAAATAATGCCTATCAGCTGGAAGAAGTTAGAAAATCAAAAAAATCACACAAGTATGCTGGAGATTAAGGTGGATTCTTATGCTCCTAATAAAAAGGGGACGGATATTCTCCCAATACCAAGCTACTATAGAAGTATGCTATGTTCATGGCCTTGATACATTGCTCGAACTGCAATTAACAAGGATGAGAATTGAAATCTATGTATCATTAGTATACAACGCTTGATAGTATAGTGGTTAAATTTCCTTATTAAAAAAACCCATTTATCATTGAGTGAAAATTGCACAAAAACTAGAGCAGTTGGACGATACATCTGCATCAATGTTGTTAATAGTTTCCTAGTCATGTGTCAGCACCTCAGAGCTAAAAAGCAAGCAAATTACAACCTAATACTGCCAAAATGAAATGGTCACACTTATGATAGCAGAAGTTACAGGTCCACCATACACACCTAGAATAAGCATGCTTACCAGTAGCAAATGACGGCAATCCAAGCACAAGATCAGCAGCAGCATTGTTAACTCTTGTTGTTGTGTGGAACTGAGAGACTGTGATTTGGATAAACTGGACAGCTCTTCAAATGGTTCAGTATTAATTGATTCTGATGTTGAGAGTGTTGGAAAAATTGGTGATGGTGTGGAAATAGGGACAGGCGGGGGTAATCTTCTTGGAGGCAAACCCGATAGTTCAGGATTTGTAGCTAGAAAGAAATCATCATTTGAACCTGCATTACTCTTAATACCAAAAGGAAACCGTTGAAGAATGAAAATAAACATTGATGTGCATAGAACATACTAAATAATGTTTTGGGATAGGAAAAAGTGCTACACAACAACCCCATATGGAAATAATTCTAAGCTGCAATAGATAAGCCTCGGTAAATGGAACATTCAAAAACTAGTAAATATTGAACAGAAATTGATATATGTGCAATCCCGAACAAGAACATTCATAAATAATGACCATTGAACAGATAATAATGAATGTGCAAGTCCGAATTTACCATATGAGGGAACAGAGTGCTGTCAGATAGTTCAATCCTGACTTGATGATTGCAATCCATTTTAAAGCAATTATGTAGAGGCTATATTTTGTACTGGACATTCCCTACCTTTTCTTGCACAATTAAGGACAAAATCAACAAGTTGATCAAGATCCACATCATCCAAGGAAACAGCTCCGGGAGGCATTACCACTTTCTTGATTAAGCTTCCTGAAAGTATGAAATTCAACAGTATCCGCCTGTCTCTCCAAAATCTTTGTATAAGCTCTATAGAATTCTCCCTGCAAACACAGACAGCACATTCAATTGGCGCCACCCACCCACCCACATTGTGTTCCTGTAAATTCTCTACCATCAAATTTCCTAAACATATCAAGAATCTTTCACCTTAACTACCTAAGAACATCAAGATTTACTTCAAACCAACTTCAAGATCTATTAGTCTTGTAAACTTAATCAAAACAAGGAAAGAACCCACTGGATTTTAAAGATTACTTACTCTTCCATTGCAACTTCAACGTAAACCCATTTGCTTAGCAAATCACACTTGCATTCACCAACTGAAAAAAAAAAAAAACAAGATTCTCGAGGTATATACCAAAATTGAATGAAATTTGAACAAGTCAAGAGGGAATAATTCTTAGAAGTAAATACCAAAATGGGTTAATAAGAAGATCAAAGGGTGTTGAAAACTGAAAAGATCTCTCGGTAATTCAAGAAACTGAGGACAAAATCAACGCTAACTTGATCAAGATCCACATCATCCAAGGAAACAGCTCCGGGGGCATTACCACCTTCTTGATTAAGCTTCCTGAAAGTATGAAACTCAACAGTATCCGCCTCCATAAAAATATCTTTTCATGAAGAACTATCTCTCCGAAATCTTTGTAGAAGCTCCATAAATTTCTCCCTGCAAACACAGACAACACATTCAATTGGAGCCACCCACCCACCCACATTGTGTTCCCGTAAATTCTCTACCATCAAATTTCCTTAACATATCAAGAATCTTTCACCTTAACTACTTAAGAACATCAAGATTTACTTCAAACCAACTTCAAGATCTATTAGTCTTGTAAACTTAATCAAAACAAGGAAAGAACCCACTGGATTTTAAAGATTACTTACTCTTCCATTGCAACTTCAACGTAAACCCATTTGCTTAGCAAATCACACTTGCATTCACCAACTGAAAAAAAAAAAAAACAAGATTCTCGAGGTATATACCAAAATTGAATGAAATTTGAACAAGTCAAGAGGGAATAATTCTTAGAAGTAAATACCAAAATTGAATGAGTCAAGAAAGAGTGATTCTTAGAAGTAAATACCAAAATGGGTTAATAAGAAGATCAAAGGGTGTTGAAAACTGAAAAGATCTCTCGGTAATTCAAGAAACTGAGGACAAAATCAACGCTAACTTGATCAAGATCCACATCATCCAAGGAAACAGCTCCGGGGGCATTACCACCTTCTTGATTAAGCTTCCTGAAAGTATGAAATTCAACAGTATCCGCCTGTCTCTCCAAAATCTTTGTATAAGCTCTATAGAATTCTCCCTGCAAACACAGACAGCACATTCAATTGGCGCCACCCACCCACCCACATTGTGTTCCTGTAAATTCTCTACCATCAAATTTCCTAAACATATCAAGAATCTTTCACCTTAACTACTTAAGAACTTCAAGATTTACTTCAAACCAACTTCAAGATCCATCAGTCTTGTAAACTTAATCAAAACAAGGAAAGAACCCACTGGATTTTAAAGATTACTTACTCTTCCATTGCAACTTCAACGTAAACCCATTTGCTTAGCAAATCACACTTGCATTCACCAACTGAAAAAAAAAAAAAACAAGATTCTCGAGGTATATACCAAAATTGAATGAAATTTGAACAAGTCAAGAGGGAATAATTCTTAGAAGTAAATACCAAAATTGAATGAGTCAAGAAGGAGTGATTCTTAGAAGTAAATACCAAAATTGAATGAGTCAAGAAGGAGTGATTCTTAGAAGTAAATACCAAAATTGAATGAGTCAAGAAGGAGTGATTCTTAGAAGTAAATACCAAAATTGAATGAGTCAAGAAGGAGTGATTCTTAGAAGTAAATACCAAAATTGAATGAGTCAAGAAGGAGTGATTCTTAGAAGTAAATACCAAAATTGAATGAGTCAAGAAGGAGTGATTCTTAGAAGTAAATACCAAAATGGGTTAATAAGAAGATCAAAGATCTCTCGGCAATTCAAGTAACTGAACTGAATCTTTCAATTAAGATGTGAATGTGAACTCTGAACTGACTGAAGAAGGAGAGTTGCTGATTTCAAATTTGTATAAAAAAAAAAACTGGACACGAGAGAGATTTTTTTTTTAGGACGAGAGACAATTTTGAGATATGACCTTTGAATTTGGTTTTATTTATAGGTCAAATTATGCCGGGGCGTATCTAGAGGGGGTGTCGTGGGTTCACGTGAACTCACGCTCCCCTCTCTAGATTATATATAGTAGTGTTATATGTTAAAAAAATAATTAGATATAGATATGTGAACTCACGTTCAAAGTATCATATAATAATATGATGATGATAGGGTGCACGTCTCTGAGTGAGGATAGAATCTTTGACTAATGGTTAACACTAAACAAAACAAGAGATGATTTAAAAGTTCATGTGGCATTCTATTACTTGTTTAATTTTAAACTTTTACCTAAATTAAATGAATTCATTCACTCGAATTTTTCACTTATAAGTTTCAAGCTTTTACAAAACTTTTTTTTAATTATATTCTTCAAAATCATTTATCATGAAAAAATATACCTTTAAAGGTTAATCTATGTAAACAAAAAAAATCAACTTTCAAAGTTCGATTTTATCAAAGCATTAAATGGTGTATTTATCTGATACAATAACCTCCAAACAAACTGAAAAATGCACCCATTTTTTTTATTATTATTATTATTTGACAAAATCGACCTTCAAAGGTTGATTTTAATTTATTTTTTTATAATTTAATTTATTAGTCAGAGTTTAACTTGAATCAATAACAAAATGCCACATGGATTAACTATTATTTTTTTAGAAAAAATAGTATTGACCGTTAGTCAAAGGGCCTAAATGAGCCAAAAATATAACTAGAATAGTATCTTTAGCAAAATAAATAAACGAATAGTATATAACTATAAATAAACCTTTTGTAACAGTCCATGAACATTTTTTTTTTTACCATTTTCCGTATCTTTTATCATAAATGCAACAAATAAAAAATACATGTAGTAGGTACAATTTTAATACATAAATAAGTGGTGTAACAATATTTGTTATAATTACTAAAAATCACCCTCTTCATTCGTTGGTATTTCTCTTTTTAGGATTATTTTCAGTTATAAAATACATTTAGGTGAGAAAAAAATGCATACTTTCTTTGATTTCCACTTTCATAATCAAGAACTGAATACATAGCTTCAAGAATACTAATGAATCATCTCTTTGTGCGGAACCAACTACAACCATCCATAGAAAGGATGTTATGAACCCAGAAAGCATGAAATTGAGTCCCAAAAAAGTACTCGTAATGTCATAAATTGGTTAGTGTACCGTGTATCTATGACAAATATTATTCTAGAGCTAAAGCAACCTTGAGTCATACAGAAGCACTGAATTGCACTTCTTTGAGGTAAGGGGGGCTCTAGATCAACCACATGATCCTTATATTAACCAAGAAGAGAGTCATCGCAATTCCAAATGAAGAACTTTGTCAAAACAAAAGGCTACAATGATTGGTCCAGACACATCTCCAAAGCACATCCTGAAAACTGTAATTATAGTAAAGATGCCAACTTGCACAAACCATGATGCCAAAACTCCCAGAAAATGACCTGATTAGATAGTGGGAGGTGAAGAATCAGAAATTTGAGGCTAGTCTAGGTGAACCACAAGAGAGGAAAAGTAATGAACAGATAATGTTAAACCTCTGCATGTTGTTTTTGTAACACTGCAAAAGTAGATCATACTAGACATTCTCCTTTGAGCCTTACGTGCAGCTGACTTGGGAACATCTGCAGAAATTGATAAACGCTAGGTTTCTTCAATGTCAATCAACAAGGACTATAAATTTGCGCTGAAACAAACAAAAAATAACCTTTTAAAAGCTTCCATGCCATGCATTGTGAGACATATTGGACCGCTAATCTTTCCAGGACGCGTCTCGTAGTTACAACAATAGTCTGATTAGAAGATACATAACATTAATTGCACACAAGATCTTCCAGTATACAATTTCAAAGTTGGTATAACATGCAAGTGCATGATTGAAGCATATATTGGAAACACATATTCCAAAAGTAACAAAAATAAATTGTCATGTCATTTTTAGTTACTACTCCTTCTGTTCACTTTTACTTGTCAACTGTTTACATTTACACTTTCAACCAATATGCATTATTGCTACACTGTTCATCTAGAACATGTGATCACCAATGAAGACAAGTTACAATAGAGGTTGAGGTGAATATCTAGGCTCAAATGAAATAAATCAAGACTTAACAATTCAATTGATTCTTTAAGAGTCAAACTTGCTTAAGCATTATAAATTTGAAATTTCCATCAATTTACTGCTCAATCGCTCTAACAAGCAATCTTCTATATTTGAGGTAAGATACAAGTAGAACAAGATCACACGGTCTTTTTGGCATGTAAATGTCTCTAAGCTCAATAAAATTAATTAGTACTGTAAATTATTTAAGCAGTTGAGGGTGGCTATTGTTAAGTGTGAAAAAAAAAAGAAGGGGTGTGTAGAAAATAAGGGCTCAAGTAAAAGAGAGGGCAAGGTTTTAAGTACCATTGGGAAAACGGAGAAGGGCCTAAAATACCCTTCAAGTATAGGAAATGGAACAAAAATATCCTCCTTCCACCTTTGGGCTCCAAAATACCCTTCCATCCACCTATATGAACCTATATTACCCTTTCACTTAACAAATCTTTTAAAAGTAACAATTTATAATTTCATTATTGACGTGGCGGCCTTTAATTGGCTAAAATTTCAATTAACCAAAAATACTCTCCACCATTAAAGTCATACTCTCCAAGCCCAACTTCCTCTCAATGGATAAAAGCTCAAAAATCCCTGCCCTACATACAGTTTACCTTTCCATCAAATTACAAACCTAATTAAATAAAATAGGAAAATAGTCTACTAATTCAAGATTCAACTAAAATGAAAATGTCTAAGAGTGCTTCAGTAAAGTTCCATTCATCGGAAAAACATGTAGCACTGGGACAAACCTCACTGTTGTCCTTCTTAGCTTGCAAAGTAGCAACTATATCCAAGCATTTCTCTATGTCAGGAATCTTTGCCTGCGTAAAGTGAAAGAGTAGTAGTCAACTGTCCACTTATTAGCAAAGATAACAATATAAAAACATCAAGCAGTTAAAAGAGAAACTCTCAAAATGACTTAAATCGAACACTTGATCGGTGCAATTTGTTGTTGGGGGTTATTCAGATCTTCTGTTTTCTACCCAATTTCTGGAATTTACAAATGGAGTTTCGCTAATTTGTTTCTGTGTCATGGATGTATAGTTGAAGAGCTGATTTGAATTCCTAAAGATGATATTTTTGTTAATATTTTCACACAGTGTTTTTTTATAATAAAGTATAGTGCTTTTTTAACTAGTTGAATTTAGGGATTAATGTTAGGGAACCCAATTTGTTTAGTATGGCAGCTAGGTGGGTATTGAAGATTCTTTGTAAGAGACTTAAAGATTGCCCATTGTGTATCTCCTTTGTAATTATTTTGATCCTCTGTTTTCCCTTAATTCTGGAATTTACGAATGGGTTTCGCTAATTTGTTACTGCCCATGGATGAATAGATGAAGAACTGATTTGAATTACTAAAGATGGTATATTAATTTAAATTTCAGCCAATTAATGGTTGTCAGGCCATTAATGAAAGGATTAATTATTACTCTTAAAGAATCTGTTAAGTGAAAGGGTAATATAGGTCCATATAGGTGGATGAAAGGGTATTTTGGAGCTCAAAGGTGGAAGAAGGGTATTTTTGTTCCATTTCCTATACTTGAAGGGTATTTTAGGCCCTTCTCCGTTTTTCCAATTGTACTTAAAAAGATGTAGTTAGAACAACTAATTGAAGTAGGCGATTAGAGGTTGAGAGACTCGACTCATACAATTAACCCTGTAAACCAGTTACTTGATAACCGAAATTAGTTCATTGCCTGAGATACGATACATGAAGTCCAATGCATGTTGCAGCCTTGGAATTTTTCAACTATTGTAAGTAATCTTATTATTTTATTCCTACATTCTTTTCTTTTGGCACTTTTAAATAAATAATTAGACCAGTATAATTTAGTAAAAATAGTTAATTGACAAGTCCTTTGGGTTTGATAACTTGGTTCTTTCAAGAGTCGCTATATTACTTGCGCGACCGCGTGCGTGTGCAATTGAGAGCAATAGTGTAAATATAGAAAAAATTACCTATCTACACACCTTTATTTACCATAATTCTCTCCCTATTTTCACTCCCACAATCTTATCAGTTAATTTCTTCCTTACAATTTGAAATTCAAAATTGTTCTCTCTCCAATCAAATAAATTTTTCTTGTTTCTCTCCGTTCATTCTTGTTTTTTTTTTTTTTTTCATCATCAATTTACTAATACTTATGGATGCTTCTTCTTCTTTTAGTATTAGGATTACCCAATTAGTTTCAACTACTCAAGATACTGTACATTTGAATCTCACGATGAAGATTTTGTTGAAAATAGATCTAAATAAAGAAACGATCTATTATTCATGAAGAATCTTGAGTTGGAGAAAGCAAAATCGAAGAAGGATGCATCTTCACGCCCATCTTTACCAAAGTTACAGATTCTCAATGTATCTTGTTTATTTTGTTTCTTAAATTAGCCTTTGTTAGTGGTATGAAATTTATGATACATCAATGCTACAATAGATTATGTTTTATGCAATGTATCATGTATACATTTATTACATTAATACATAAGCCTAATATTATTGAATACTCGACTAGTGAGTTTCGCGTTCAATACTTATGTACTTGATACATAAGTAATGCCTAATGTATCATTTACAATATATCAAGTTCTATAATGTATCTTCAATATTTTTTAATTTTAAAAGAATATAGATGGTAATAAATTAGTTTTTTTGTTGTGTATCGAGATTACCCAATAATAATCTTGGTACATAAATCATAATGTACTATAACTAATACATATTAATAACTAATGTGCATCACACGTATCAGATACACATTAATGGCCATGATACATTTATACAAATTACTGCTAAATATTTGTTCTCTGACAATGATACATTCATACAAACTAACACTACATGTATCTGATACTTAATATGTATCACACAGTAATGTTTTGATATAAAATCAAACACTTTACAAGCAATTTTTACTTATCTAATGTATCTGTAGATTGCAGCACTTAACAATTTACTAAATATTTTAGGAATAATAATGTATCATCAGCAATATATTCATCTCGGAAAAATAAAAAATAAAAACTTTGGTCATGATACATTCATACAAATTAACACTACATGTATCTGATACGTAATAACTATCACACGTTAATGTATCGATCCAAAACCAAACACCTTATAGGCAACCTTTACTACTTTAATGTATTAGGTAGAATTACAGTACTTAACAAGTACTAAATATTTTTAAAATAACAATGTATCATGAGTAATATATCTATTTGGAGATCACAAATCAAAAAATCGACTACACAACACTTCTCCAGCCTTTTTGTGTGTTGTATCAATGCATAGTATTGCAAATTCCGGCTTATGTTTCTTCACCTCTAAGTACAGACTAAGGAAGATATTCATGATGTATCTTCTCAAATATTTTGACATTTTTGAATAAAAAATGAAAGGATCTTCAATAAATTGGGACAAGAATTTTGAATCTCAATTTTTTTTGAAAATTTTGAATAAAAATTGAGAGGATCTTCGATGAACTGGAGAAGAATTCTAATTATTTTTCTGACAATTTTGAATAAAAATTGAGAGGATCTTCAAACAATTATATAGGGATAAAGAATGCTCGTCTCTGTAAAGTATCGGATCTCCAAATTTTCCTCAACTCATCGATCTCCAAGTTGCAATGGCTGATTCACAAAGGAAATATTTTGTGCAACACCTATTCCGTCACTTATATATCATTCATAACTCACCTCAGTTTCTCAGATTCTTGAATGTCTCAACAAAATAGAGATATTCATAATGTATTCAGTGCTTTTGAATCGAAATTGAAAAGATTTTTGACAAATTTGGAGAAGAAATTTGAATTTTTTTGAAGCTGTTATGCTTTGGGGGTGATTGATTAGCAGTGACAACAACGTAATTGCATGGTTTATGAATTCGATATTTAATTTTACGTTTCTTTTCCTTTTTAAGCGCAACATAAAAGACTTTGTTCCCCTTTTTAGCGCAACATGAGGATTCTTCTTGTATCAAAATTAATATATCCGGATGGTGACTTAAGTATCCGGAAGGTACAAATTTTAAGGAATTATTGTAATTAGAAAAAGAGTAGGGATAGTCCGATATTTATTATCGGACTATCGATTAAACCGTCAAAAGAAAACCTCAAATAATTAAGGGTGTGTTTGGTATGAAGGAAAATGTTTTCCTAGAAAATGTTTTCTTGGAAAACAAGTAGATTTTTGACTACTTATTTTTTCTCATGTTTGGTTGGTGAGTAGAACATATTTTTCGAAAAAGATTTTTTAGTGTTTGATTTATGAATGAAAAATATTTTTGAGAAAATATCTTTTATTTTTACTAGAGAGTAGAAAATAAGTTTTGAAATTGAAAATATTTTTTAAAAACAAACTTAAATTTTTTTGGGG